CATTCACGTGATGCTGCTTGCACTGCACTGGACTCCTCTGTGCAGAGCCAAGGACCTAATCAAACACATAATCAATCAATCTGCTTGTCAGATACAAACAGCAAACAAAAGACTTTTGTGTCCTACACAATTGCCTTTTCAGAAGAAAAGTGAGCCACTGGTTTCAAAGATCATGTAATACACAAGTAATGCATGAGAGGCCGGAGCCCGTGGTGCCGTGAGGAAACCTTGTGACCGAATTCCTGACAAGGGACATTTCTGACGGGTTACTCACACTGCCCTGACTGGTGTTCTGGAATTATACACTATGAAAGGATATTTTAAAAGATGACTGCAATCACTGGAGTCAAAAGCTTCTTACAAGTTAACAAAAGACAGAAGTGGGCAGTTCTTTGGCTTTAGCATCACTGAGCTCTCATGAAGAATGAACTCATGCTACAGAACTCCTCTCTGCACAGCAGAAAGGAAAGCAACAAAACAGCTCAAGTTTTTAAACATCTCTTTCAGATTCAAAAAGGACAACAAAAAGAGAGATACATGACACCCATTCCTGTTTTGCCTCTTTTTGGGGGGGACAGCAACTACTGCCTTGAGACCTCTGAGACACTGTAATGAGACAGAGTTGAAAGCAATTTATGTGGGCAAATGTGGCCACATCCTTTTCTAACAGCCACACCACCTTACTGTTGTTATGCTGTAAAAAAACCTCCAGAAAAGCAACCATAATGCATACTTTGTTAAACCTTTGATATATACATTATGTCATCAAGTAATTTTACTGTGCCTATAAATTGCATTCTGCAACTTGGATCCTATTCACACCTGGTAAGAAACCTTAAGCACAAACTTAAACCAGTCCCAACTGATTTAATGAACTAATTAATTTTGCTAAAATTACTGTTAAAAAAGCCATTACCAGTATTTTAGACGAGTGGGAAATTCAATTGATAAGCACTTTTTACAACCGTGTAGGAATTTAACCCTATGGAGTACAAATAATTCTCTACAAAAGTTTCATAGGTCTTTTTAACAGGGCCTGACCTTCAACATAAAATGAAATCTAGTCAATGATTTCTGCAAAATCTACGCACCTTTAGAGAAGCTACACTTGGCCATTTATTTTGATACATTACATTCCCTGGTCTTGCATTTGAAAGTTGTTCTACTTCCTTTTAGACACAGAATCATAGAATGTGCTGAATTGGAAGGGACCCATCAGGATCATTGAGTCCACTCCTGGGCCTGCACAGGACACCCCAAGAATCACACCATGTGCCTGAGGGCATTGTCCAAACACTTTTTGAACTCAAGACAGTTCTATTTTATGTAAAATACTTGTGGAAAAATCCTGAAGATATTTATGCAGTAGAAATTTGAACAGGGGTTTAAGTAGGGTTTCTGTAAATTTGCTTTACAGCATCTACTGATAGACTGAAACAATTTTTATTAATTAATCTGAAGAAATCCCAGTGTCATTACCAGAGCAGCAGCAGCAACTCAAGACCTGTGGAAATCATCATGGCTGGTGCAGAAAAAGAATAAGCAATAGCCCATTATAACCACTGGTGGAGTCTTAAACATCTTTATTTAAATAGTCAAAATAAATATTTGATAAGATAGAGCTAACCAAAGTACCACATCTGTTTGGTTTTGTTTCTTTAAAGCACAGCTATCAAAGTAACATGAGTGCCACCTCCTGGTTTAGGCATGGAAACACTCTGGGTTGTGCTTATTGCATTCAAAACTTCCAACTGAAAGGTACAGTTTTTCTTTTTTTTCTTTTCTCCTTTTTTTTTAAAGTAATTAAAATGTTTATCTTCAACATTCACAGAATGTTGTAAGAACAAAAATAGCTAAATGCAAGGATCCAGTAACACCTGCTGATCTTTAGTGCCTAGAGCAAACTAACTATATAAATACTTCACAAGTATTTTTCCTCAAATTTAACTTCACAGACGTCAAATCCTACTAAAACACAGGAATGACCATAATTTTAAGTAAATATTTAAGTGCAGTGGCTTGTAATACAAGAAGTAGTCTTGGATTCCATGTGGAGTATGTTCTCCCAACACTTTTCTACCCTAAAAAATGCCTTCTTAAGTGAAATGTGTGCATCTCTTATCCAGGAGGTGACAGAACCTAACAGAAGAAGGCTGAGAAATTCAGCAAATGTACTACAAATGGCACAAAGAGCTGCAGCCCATTTAATATCTGCTGCAACAGTCAAATCACAAAGCTGTTGAGAAAACAGGAGTAAATTACTATCTTGCACATTACTAGCTGTGCAGGAGTAAAAGGTTTGACTCTTTTTGTTTGATTTCACACAACACCCACAAAAGGGCATCACTATTATGTCAGAGCCATTTGGTAACAGCTACCAAAGATGTTTCAAAGCAACTTTAGAAGTAATTTAAGAAACAGATCTGCCCAAATTCACGTGTTGCCCCCACTGCAGATATAAAGACAACTACACTTTCCTCATGCCTGCAGTAGTAAAGACAATTTACCAACACTGAGTAAACACTGGCTCTGGGTCTCTTATTTTCTCTCCATATTCAGTATGGGCTGGAAGTATACGAGCCCAAATCCTGGGAGATGCTGCACCATGTCAATTCTGTATGGCATCATGTCCTATGGACTCCTAAATTTTGTCCCCCAGCATTTCAGCTGGCATTTAAGCCATTTCACCCACACCAAGCCTGTTTATCTCCACAGGCTAAGAAGCCACTGCTAGACTAAATGTTACGATTTCACAAACTCTGTGCTCCTCTTCTGTATATTGACTTGCTGTAAATTAGGATCAGAACCCTCAAGTCTTCTGGAACACACACAGCAACTTATATATATTTTTTAAATGTATAACCCTTTGGAACAAAACCCATTCATGTGTTTGATGTCCCAGCAAATTCTTATTCACGCTAAGAAGACGGACACTTATTGCACTTGTATCCCACAGCAGCAAGCACTTCCAGGAGGAGGACCTCGTCTCTTTCCAAAGTCGCCATCCCCATACTTTCTCACTCTAAAGCAGCAACAGTCCATGACGGATTAATCAGCACTTAACCAACTCCTTGTTTGGCAAAGGTTCTGCAACGACTTCATCACGCATGAACTGCTCCTAAAGATAGCAAGTAGAGTTTTAGTTGATTTACATTATTTCTGGATCTCCTCTCTGGCAAAAAAACACCAGATACCCAGGCTGGAAAACCGAGTGATTTAAACTGGTATGAATCTGTCCCCCAAAACCTGAATGCCATAAGCTGCCAGGCTGCCGACAAGGCTGCTGGAGTCAGTCACAGGCAGCTCTTCACCTCACTGAGATCGTTCTGTCCCTGTCCCTCTCCACGCCCACCCAGCCACGTGCGTTTTAAAGCCCAAACACGGCAGCAGGAGACCAGAAAAATAAGAGCTGGTGTAGAAGATCTAGTCCTAGATCAGCGATTTTTAAACGCCGCTCCCGCGCTTCCCGTTCATGGCGACGAACCGGGACTCGGAGGGACCCGGCTGGAGCCGCGCCCTGCGGCCCTGCCCGCACCCACCTGGTCGTAAATGACGCGCAGGATCAGGGAGCAGCTGGGACAGGTGGCCACGTCCTCCCCGTTCTCCAGGTCCTCCTGCAAAAGCCCCGGGAAAGCGGTCACGGCCCCGCCGCCTGCCCGGCCGATGAGCAGTATGGCGCTGCCCTCCTCCCCGCCACTGCCCGGCCGCCCCTCACCCGAGTGATAAGGAACCGGTCCCCGCAGGGGCACGGGTAGCTGTAGGTCTCAGTCTCCTCGTCGTACTCGAAGTCCTCGATCTCCACCTCGTCGTGGAACACCGACATGGCGGCGGGAAGCGGTGGGAGCCGGGACGGGCCGGAAGGGAAGAGGCGGTGCCTGACGGGGCACGCGGGCGGAGCCTCCCGTCATGTGATGCGGCGCCGGTAGGGGCGGTGGGCAGCGGGGTCGGGGCGTCCTCGGGATCTGAGGGAGGGATCGGCTGGGGAGGGGATGGAGGGGCGAGGGAGAGCCGGGAGGCGGAGGCTCAGCGCACTCGAGTACCCCCGGCTGGCTCTCCGCTCTGGCGGGAGCCCCGCACGCCGGTCGGAAGCGGTGGCCGGGCCGCCCCCTGCGGCCAGTGGCGCTGCCGTCTCCAGCCCTGACCTCCTGCCTGGCGATCCCGAGCGGCTGCGGGGGGACGGACGAGGACTGCCGCGACCTTGTCCTTCTCCGTGTCCTTGTCCTTCCCCTGCCCCTTGTCCTGCTCTCTGCCTCTTGTCCTTGTCCTTCCCCCGCCCCTTGGCCGCCTCAGTGCCGCCCAGCCTCAGCCGGGCACGGGCTGCCCAGCGCCCCCTGCGCCCACCGTGCGCTCCTCAGTCCGGGGAAAAGGGGAAAAACATTACTTTCGCTGGTGACTTTTGCAGGAGATACTGTTTGTACCTCTTACCGAGAGATAGTTTCTGGTAAAAGATTTCCTTATCCTGCTTGCTTAAGTACCCTTGATGCCCCCTCAACACTCTCTTGCATTAACTTACACAGTAATTTACTCTTCAGTATGGTATGGGTAGAGCTGAAAGTAATTCTCCCTTCAGATAGTAATGTAGGATTGAAAGAAAGATGTGGTCATAGATCTCAAGCAATACTAACTAACCCAGGGCCAGTGGGTCAGAGGAGAAGGAGAATGAATGATTGATTATAAGTCAGGAGAAGAAGGAGTCATATAACAGTCATAAAAGTAGCACTTGTTTGTCTCCATGGAGCAAAGGAAGTGTAAAAATGCATATAAAATATCTAAAGAGGGGGTATCAAGAGGATGGAGCCAGGTTCCTTTCAGTGGTGCCAGCCACTAGGACATGAGGCAATGGGCAGAAGCTGATGCACAAGAAGTTCCACCTGAACATGAGGAAGAACTTCTGTACTGTGCAGGTGACTGAACACTGGAACAGGTTGCCCAGAGAGATTGTGGAGTCTCCCTCGTTGGAGATATTCAAGAACCATCTGGACACAATCCTGTGCCATGTGCTCTAGGATGACCCTGCTTGAGCAGGGAGGTTGGACCAGATGACCCGCTCTGGTCCCTTCCAACTTCACCCACTCAGTGATTTTGTGAAGTAAGGGGGTATTTGGAGTGGCTATTCTGTACCAGCTAGGGTAAGAAGGGAATAAAGGGAGAACATCCCACCTGACAGGAGCTTGGCAGACTGAAGCAGTGCACTCCATGGAGGGCAGGGAGTTGCCAAAGAGCTGGTTGGGTGGAGAAAGTCACAGGGGTGACAGATGGGGCAGAAGCTGTTCACATTGTGTAAAGGTGTGATTCACACCTGTCCGTGGTAGAGGAGAACCAGGGCTCATTAAAAGACATTTTGGAATTTATTAGTTCCAGAGTAAAAATGACAACTGACTTTATTCTCATCTTTGTGATTGGAAAGTGATTGATGACAGTGTAAATGGAACAAGGATCTTGAACTACTGTTCAAGAGTCATTTCTTATTTATGATAGAGTCTCAGTCTTAAAGTAGTCTGTATGAATAGGATCTTTCAGCTGTGACTATAAAATTAGGCTGCCATTTATTTTGTTTCCAGTATTATGTGTTGATACTGAACTTTGGGCTGGTTGGTTTTTTACATTTTCATTTGTAGAACTGAGCATATTTGCTTCCTAAAGTGGTAACAGTGAAAAGGAGGAGCATGAGGATGGCTCATTTAAATGACTGTCCACCTCAGCAGCAGAATTAAACCAAGTACGTAAAATAAACAGTCCAGAATCTCTGATTGGAATTAAAAGTTGTGCCACTTCTTTGACCAGCAGGTGTTGCTGCATTTATTAGCAATTGCAGAAAGGGTTTTGAAAGTTGTGAGTTGATTAAAAAAAAATAATCTTTATTCTCAGTCCTAGGCCTCTGAAGCAAAGTGTCAGACTATATGTGGTTCATTTGGATGTTGTGGTGATTTAATTAAAGTCACAGCCATTGGCATAAATGGTTTACATAAGTGTCCACTTTTAAACATCCTTCATGTTTACATTGAATTAGTTAATGTAGTAGAGTGAAGAGCATGAAAACATGAATCCAAAACCAAGAAGCCTAAAAAAAGGCAGACTTGTATATGGATATGCTGTCTGAAAGACTCCAAATCCTAAACTGACCTCATGAATTTGAGAAACTTAATGATTTTTCAGCACTCTGGCTTTACATACAGCATGCCAAGGTAGAGGAACGGGACTCTTCATTAGATGTGTACTTTGTTGTGCTAAAGTATTTTAAGATTGTTAATACTTTTGTTATCAATAGCTTCTACACATTTGCATGTAGAAAGTGCTGAAGTGTTTTGTTTAAACACTTAAGTACACCTTAAGTCCTCTGTAATGGGGTGAAAAAATTTTTTAAGTAATTTTGTTTACTGGTGGTAGATGACTTTTAAATAATTCCATTCTTAAAAGTTGCAAGCTGCTGTGGAATTAAATGATGAAAAGCTATTAAAAATTATGGACAGTTAAAAACTGCAGGAAGTATTTCTTATGCTTGAAAGTGGGCATTTTGAGTAGTGACTTTTGAGAAATGCATTCCATTTCTGAGCGGCCTAATTAAAGGAAGCTCTGCCTCCATTTGTACAAGATTACAAACAGGACAAAATACCAAGTGACCAGCCAATACAGTTGTTAGTGAAAGCCTAGAGAGTATAGGCTTGATTAACTGAACAAGCTGGATTGTTGCCATTTCAAAGGATTCAAAATGAAAAACATTTTGAAAATAAATTACATGCCTTAAAAGAATGCAGAACAAGAGATTTTAATGGAAATAAAATATTAATGCTTTAAAGAAGCAATGGACTGCATCGCAGAAATAATATGATAGAGAATTATGCTAATCCATTTTAGGAAAAACAAAGGCCTACAAGGTATGAGAAATATCTCTTGGCTCTCTGATTTGCATGTTGTAAATGAACTGTGGTTCTGCCTTACTTTGAGTGTTGACCATGTCGGTTTATCTTTCTGTGTCACAGCTCCGTTTGAGTGCCCAGTTTTGAATCTTCACACCATGTTTCCACTGTAGTGCGTGTAAGTGTCCTCCACTTGCTTAACTATGTAGAGAGGTGTTATATAGGGTACATGGAAGTGTGAGGGATCAATGTGCTTTTAAATAAACCTGTGAACAAACAGGCTTAATTAAAGTTTGTGAAATTGTCCAACCAGAATCCTTTCTATACCAATAGAAAGGGAATGCACAGTCAGTGTTTGATCTTCTTTCATATATTGTTTGAACATTTAAAATCAAAGATATGTTGGCTGGAAGGCACTTCTGAGGGTCATCCAGTCAGATCTGCTTGGAGCAGGACAGTTGTTCACACTGGATTAAGCCAGTCCCAGGTAAGTCTTTTGTAAGACCTTTGTAAGTCTTTAAGTTAACAAGGTTTCTGCTTTCCAGTCCTTCAGTTTTTCAGTGCCACTTTGAAGTGAAGCTCTACTATTCAGGATGTCAACCATCCCTCTAACACAGCATCATCCACAAGTTTGCTGATCATAGAATGGCCTGGAAGGGACCTCAAAGACCAACCCCTCTGCCATGGACAGGGACACCTGCTGTGTCATCATCCAAGTTGTTGATAGATTTATTGGCCTGTGTCAGCCCCAATAACAATGCCAGGGTACTCTTATTACTGTTGTTAGCCAACAACTGAAGCAACTTGAAGCCATCAATTCTGTCTGCCCAGACAGTTTTCAAACACTCCAACAGTCCATCTGGCCTCGGCTTACTAACATGCAATGGGAGGTGGTGTCAGGAGCCACAGGTCAATCAAGATGTGTTGTGTCCTGTCCCCATGGTTGCATGACCAGACATTTATTTCATCATGGTAGCTGTTCAGATTTATCAAACATAATTTACCGTTGGTAAATCTGTGTCCAGTATTCCTGATTACTTTCTTAGCTTGCACAGAGCTAACAGGACAAGCTCTAAGCATTTTTCCAGAGGCTGAGATGGTGCCGACTGGACATAAGCACTCCTTCTTGCCTCTCTTAAAAATGACCATTTGTTAGTCTGTTTCTAGTCTGTTTGTAGACTTTGTGTGGTAAATGTTTTTCATAGATAATACACAATTGCCTGACAAGCATGTCAGCTGTGTCTCTTAGCAACCTTGAGTGTAACCCATCTGGCTCTGTGCATCTGAATACATCCAGCTTCTTTCAGCAGTTGCTGGCCCTACTCCTGCTTATCCCTGTCCTTCCCAAACACTACTGGTACAAGCAGATGTGCAAGCAAGCTTTGCCTGTGAAGACTGGGGCAAAAGCAGTGTTGTGCACTTCAGCCTTTTCTATATCATCTATGACAAGCTCATCTTCCCCTTGTGAGAGACTGAAATGTTAATGACTCAAACAATCGGCCATTTTCAAAAACAGCGAGTGCTTTGCTTAGGCCAAAGTTTGCACCCCCCAGCCGAAGGGGAGGAGGAGAGGTTTAGGTGGTGAAACCTCTGATCTGCATAAGAACAGGCCAGGTGCAGAAGGGATTAGTATCCACCCTGGAGGATGTTCGTGACAAACCAACCTTTGTTTAAGAACAAACTGGGTTTTGAGCCAAGTAGGGGGAAAGGCTGATGAGAAGCAGATCCTGTAGAGGCAGGATAATGCTTTTTATCATGCAAATTTCCTCCCTTACACAACTGGCTCAGGTGTAAAAATCCTTCCCCCCTGGGGGAGATATCATAACATTCACCTGTAAGCCTAAAGATATTCATCGCTTCTCAAGGGGCATAACTGGCTCAACTACACTGATTTGAGAGGCAGCTGTCAAGTTTTCTCTCTTAGAAGGTATCACTCTTTATATAAGTATCACCTATATACTTTCTTAAGTGATACTTTTATGCTGATGTATTTCTATAGATAATAACCAAAACGGCTACGTACTTACTTTCCATTGCAACCGAGTTATTGTACAATAAACCTGCCGTATATATGTGTATAAACACTGGTCATTCAGTGTCATTTCACTCTAATCCATCCCAAGGGATCTATTAACAAGAGCGTCAGTTATCTGGCTTCAGGGGCAGGTCATAACACCCCTTCACTGGACTGATGCACATTTTCACTTCTTTATGATACTTCCGTACTTCTAAAATTCCCTCTCATTATCCTGTATGTCTGTTGCTAGTTTTAGCTCCAGCTGACCTTTGGCCTTTTTGTTTTGAAGGAAAATAAAAGGTGAAAACAAGCCATGTCAAGCAGTGTTTCATTTAACAAATATTTATGATTTTTTTCAGGAGCCTGTGATTCTGAAGAGTGCCCAGTCGTCATGGCTCATACTACTGTTTATGTGGGTTGCACTGTTCCTCAGTTACTGAAAGGTGCTAGCAGAATTTTTCCTTCTCATTCTGCATTGGGAGTGTTGAGGCACTCTTCTTTTTATTACTGCACAGTGAACGGGTAGGTTATCCACTTTCTTTTTTCTTTTGAGACAGTGCCATGGTAACACTGCCAAAATCAAGCTGACAAAGTACTACAGACCTATAAATACTTAATTTAACTCCCAATTATATATTTATATTTAATTCTTATTTAGATTTATGTCATCTGTAGTCTGGATTACACTGGTAAATTGTTATGTTAATAGAAATTCGTATCAGTAAGGGACAGTAGCACAGCTGTCAGAATGACAATTATCTTTGTTTGCTTTTTGTTGCAGCACAATAAAATCAAAAAGGAAAATGGATCATCTAGAGAGGACGGCAAATAATTTTCGCCAGGAGGTTAGTGTTGTGTTCTTTAGGATGCAAGTAATTTTTTTTTTTTTTGCTGTGAAGGTAATTGTATTGGATAATCACGTTTGATTCTTAGGCTCCGTTTTCTGTACTGCTGGAGTCTGTTTTACTTCTTCTTCTCGTAATTTTTCATACTTGATGTTGTTATAAAATTAGCGTATTTTGTACTCAGTGGGTGAAATGTAATGAGTTATGAAAATTGTCAATGATGTGATGCTATTTATTTTATGTTGGACAAGAAATTTAATAGAATTCTGGTCAAGTATGAATTATAATAAGTAACGAAAGCACATGGATACCCATCACCTCTACACAGAATTCTCAAATTTTTATGGATTTCTATAATTCTCATCCAGATTTGAGATTAAAAAATGTGGAAAATGTCCTTTTATACCACGGGAGGTAAGAAAAAATATAGACATTTTGAAAGCAGAGCTGATAGACAGTTGTAAAAAGGATCTTCATTTGTATCTATTTTAATTCACAAATACAAGAGCAATAAAGCATTTTCTCCATCAAAATATAGAAAGCATTCTTTTTCATAACGTTCAGAGGTGAACATACTCTTGTACTTCATATAGATATTTCCTTTCTATATTAGGCTGAAGTAGATGTTTTGAAGTTTTTAATACTGGGAGAATAAATATTACTTCAGTTCTCAAAAATATTTGACTAGTGAAAAAAAATCCACATTTTTCTTAGCCCTTTCAGGAGTTAAGGCACTTTTTTGACTGAAAAATCCCATCTTTAATGCTCAGGAGTTGGGAAAGGGTGTCCAGTTTTTCTCCATTGTTTAATTAGCTTCTCTCAGTCTTGAGTAGCTATTTGTGATGAGCCAGCCTTGCATGAGCCACCCAGCAGGACAAACACACCACACAGATGTCAGCGTGTGTACGTGTACATAATTACGTGCTTCTCTGCTAGGTTTTTCCCTAACTTTAGTTGAGAATAAGTCACAGGCCAAGTGAATTCTTCCCGAAAGGAAGCCAGGTGGAGGGGATATGTAGGTCACTCCCAAACCAGACGATTCAGCACTTGTGACATGGGCTGTAGATGGATGAGACAAATGCAGCCTTGCTCTGCCTGTTGCCAGAGCTGTCGGGGAGTGAGCCAGCTTTGGGAACCATGTGTCTCAGAACTGTGCCTCAGCTACTCACACCTAATGCCAGCTCTTACTTGAGTACAGTGTAGCATTCCTCGTGGACATACAGCTGCTCAGGTGGATCCAGTTTATCCAAGAAAATGAGTGTAGAGACAGGCAGAGAGATGCACGTTCTCATTTGCTTCTGACATGAAAAAAATCATGGCATTTTTGAGTTTTGCAACCATGATTTAGTTATCTTGGATATTTCTGATTGCTTGGCTTGCTTACTTTTTCTGCTCAATGTGGGTAGCTAGATAATATGTGGAAAATGGATCCTTATGAGGTATTGGAAGCTCTGGGGTGGTGCAGGGAACTGTAAGGCCTGAGGAAGAGAAGGAAGCTATGTGGGATAGTTGAAAGAGCAAGGCTCAATTCTTGCTACTGCACATTCTCTGCATATCAGAGGATTATACTGTTTCTTTTTTTAATGCTTAATTTATTCTTTGTTACTTTATTTCTGACCACTTTAAAATCAGTTTATTTTAAATCCTCGGCTTGGTTTCGAATTCCATGTAATCAGCAGTTGGCTTCCCACAGTCAATATTGCCTTATTTGGCTATTTCAGTCCTGTAAAAGATGAAAGAATCATAAATCTGTGTTGCATTAGTGTGAATGCTACAGAACATTGCCTGTTGAAGAGTGATAATGTGAAGGACCCGGATAAGAAAATGTGCCTAATGCTTTCTTGAAATACAGCTGCAAAATCTGGAGTCCTGTGTCCTCTCCCTCTCTCTGCAGCCTGCTCTGGGCCAGTTGGATACTCTTGTGATAGTCCAAAATACTAATCACTCTGATGCAAATTTAATTTTTGAAACAACTTTATACCGATTAAGAATTAAATTTCCAGCGCTCTGTCTGCTTTCTCAGCCAAATAACAAATTAGGGAGTGTACTGAAGAATAAAGAAGGGAATGAAGAAGATCTGAACTTAATGTCCGTTTCCTGCATTTAAAGTTTCTCAATCAGAACAACCATTTAAGTCATGTTTAAACTGACTGTCTTCCCCATTTAATACTGTCTGCCAAAGTGGAACAGAAATCTATGCTACTTCATTTTAAATTAGCAAATGTCCTGCTGTTTAATGGGACAGGGGACGTGTTCAGATGTTACTTTATGAATAAATTAATTTCCTGCCATGTGTTTTAAATTACAGCATAGTTGCTTAAAATTTAATTTTTTTTTTATCTGTTTGATCTTACACAAATGAGAAATGATAAAATTGCAATGGTATTGTGAGTATTTCCTACTGTGGTAAGTGACATCAGCGTCTTTTAACAGAGTGAAATCTGTGTATCACTCTGTGTAGAAAAGATTTAGGGCATTGCTTTCTTTGTGGAGGAAAAAGGTTAATAATTATAACTCAAAAATACCTGAAAAGGAAGGGCAGGGAGGGGATGAAAATCCATGTTGTACTGATGGTCGTCAGAGTTTAAGTGGGGTGTTTGTCCTCAATGGCCCTGTGGCAAAATCTGCTTTTCATTTTTCATCTTTTTTTTATTTTTAATAACTATTTAAAAGTGGTATCAACCATGGCTCTGACATCCCCTCCCACATGATTGCCAAGCAAAAACTCCTCTGTTAACCAACAATAAAATCCTTGTGTCGTAGTTACCCCGTGTTCATAAATAAAATATGTGGTCAAATGGGGAAGTATAAATGCAGGAACACAAGGCTTACTGGTTTTCTTGCATTGATGCACTAATACATATGTTTCAGTAATGCATTTAATTACTTAAATAAAACTAGATACAACTCCAGAATTCTCCTTTTTACTTCAGTTGCAGCTGATCTTTAACAAATGTCCTTTGTCAGTCTTTATATCAGAAATCTTTTTACTTTGTTGCTGGAAGATGCTGGAGTGTGTGTCTTGTATAGATGTGTAAAGAACCTGAAAAGGGATAAGTAGCAATCACTTCTCTTTATAGTTAAGCTTTCAACTGAAAGTGAGTTTGTATATAATCTTAGAATAAATCTGACAAAAGTGACAGACACGATGGACTGTAAGTACAAAAATATTTCTCCATTCAATGACTATGTGAGTGAATCATAGAATCAAAAAATGATTTGGATTTGAAGGAACCTTAAAGACCAGCAAATTCCAATCCTCCTGCCATAGGGGGGGATGCCACTCACTAGATGAGGTTGTTCAGGGCCCCCCCCAACCTGGCTTTGAACACTTCCAGGGATGGAATCCACTTCTGTTTTTCTACGCCAGTGAAAAAATATTAGTGCTGTAGGTAATGAAATGCTGCAGAGAACATGGAAGGGATAGATATTTCATGCACAACTTCTTGAGCACTTTTGCTGCAAATGATATCTACGTACCACAATGGCTTATTTTCCTTTTGTCAGGTAATTACACAAGCGAAAGTGTGTGGAATCACCGATGAATCGGAGACAGTCAAAAGACTTCGTTTGGCTATTGCAAATAAGGATTTTACGTTCAAAGCGGGACAATGGTAAGATCTTTCAGTATTTGTGGGAGAAATTACTAGGAGAAGTCTACTACAGCAAAGTGTTAAAAGGCCTCTCTGATCCTTGAACCTTGGAAAAAAATTGTTAGTTTATATAATACCGTGTTTTCTTATTGGTTGCCCTGTCAAATAGCTGATATTTGCCATAATTTTTAAATAGTCATTATAAAATATGTAATATTACTAATAAAAGGGCAGAAATGGATGTTCTTTAAATGTTCAGTTTGATTGTTTTGATGTTTTCCTCTGGTTTATGTATATTACATTGTTTCTTCAAGAGTACTTTGAAGTTCCATGCACTTTATTCTGCAAACTGTCTTTGCTGTCTTTATTTACTAGTTACCTTTACAGTGGAGCTGAGACTGCTGCTTTGCAAGTTACTTAGTTTTGGTTTATAATTAAAACAGAGTTCCTTGCTAAGTTTTATTTTTTTCCCCTTGAAGTTTCTTTAATTCTGAAAATTAAGCCAGTTAGGTTGGATTAATAATATAGAAAGGCAAATTTGAAAATAAAAAACTTGAATTATTAAGCCTTTGAAACAATTAGCTGTTTGTTTAAGCAATTTTACAGGTGTTCTTTTTTTTTTCAAGGAAGTAGTGAATATTCACGTTTGTCATCCTTCCTTGTTAAAATTACTCTTACTCTGTCACTTTTTTTTTCTCTTAGAAATTAATTTAAAACTATGAGTAGTTGCTTTTGGCAATGGACATTTAAATGTTTTTAAACTTTTTATTGGTTTAGGCCATCTGAAAGTGGTTTTCCTGGAATCAAAGTATAGCTGCTAGGGTATTAACAGCATATGTTACTCATGGAGTGTTAATATGCTGGCTTTTAAATTTAGAACCAGAACACAAGATGTTGATTGCAGTAATTTGTTTGTGAAGTAATTTGCTGCAGTTTTTGCACATGTGCAGTGACTCATATTAAATTCTTGCTTGCCAGTACTTGGAAAGAGCATTTACCCTTCAAAAATGTTTTTGAAATTATCATGCTGAAAACTGAAAGCTTTAATTATAATTACTCTTCTTCATTTTCTCCTTCCTTGAAAGTATTCTAATGCTATTGTAAGGTACACAACAACTTTTCTGTACTTGTAGCTATAAACTGTGGTTGCATTTTTTGATGAGCAGTACAAAATACCAGACCACAATTTCCTGAACAAAAAAGGCTAACTTGTTAGGATTTGCTATAGTAAGATGTCACAGCCAAAGATTGTCACTAAAATGTTTAAATTTTCTGAAAGTGTTCTAATTATTGAGATTTTTAGAAGCAGAAGTGAATTTGTTTTGCAAGCACGCTGGCAGATACCGGTCTTTATCTGACTACAAATAATGATGAAGAGACTTGTTGCTGTTACCCATTTTGATTTACTAAAACATGCATTGAGGTATATGCATGTTACAAAGCTGCTTCTTCAAAGTGTTTGTGGTTTTAATGTTTCTAATCTCCTCCTTCCAGCAATCAGTAATTATTGTTCATTTCTTAAGGATTTGGCTTAGCTAGCCTTTAAAAGGAGGGAAATGCAAAACCACTCTCAGATCTCTGGTTTACATCTTTTTTGCCTCTCCTTGTTGTGGGTTTATATGTAAGGGTTTTCCTTCTTTTTTCCCCTTCAGCTACTCTTTTCCCTTAAGCTGTCACAGGTAGCATTTCTTAAGGAGCCCTCTTATCCTTCCTAACATGGCTAAGACAGACAAGCCATCAGAAATACGAGCTTGTCCATTATAATACAGTATACTGTGCCCTACAATCTCACAATTATGTAACTGGGAAAGAACTACTAATATGGAAAGAAATGTACATCTGCATTAGTATTTTAGAAAGGTTAAAACTATGTTTGATTGAGGTTTTGCAGCAATGTTTGGTTTTGTGTGTGTGTTTCCCCACTTGGGCACAGATTGACTTGAATGTAAATTGTTACTTTACAGCACAAATTCTTATTTTTTCGTTAATGTAAGTAGTAAGATTGTTTTCCACCAGAGGGAGGTAAAGAGCTTCAGTAGCATCGTTAGATGTTCTTTGCTCTGATAAATGCTGCATTATAACAGTTGTCCTTTCTAATTTCTTGGAGCCTGACTGCCAGGAAAGCTGGGCCCCATGGGGCAGTGGGGCTGCAGAAGCTGAGGACAGTGAATTGAGCCTTCTCAACGTTTTTGGTTGTTAACCTTTCTTTTGCAGTCTGATACCTTTATACACCATCAAGTTTATTAGCATGAAGTTAAAAATTATATCACTGTTGTATCTTTCACACTTTGTGCATTCTTCGAGAGAGAGGATGTTGTTCTTCAAAGGGTGAAGCTGTGTGGGGAGATATTTTTTGTTTAAAGTCGTGAACTATTCAAAGTGCTTCTCTCTTCCCTCAAGCAATTGTGATCTCTGTAAAGGATACAGCTTTGCTGTTTAAAGAAGATATCTGTGCTGTGGAAGCCAGTCTGTATTTCTTGTTGCATCCTCATTTAACAAATACTGAGCCAGCCTAACCCAGGCTTGAATTGAATAACGATTCTATAGTACTTGGCATTGCAGTGTGGTTGTTTGTTAAAGGGAGCAGAAGAACTAGTTATAAACATTACGTTTATTTTGAAATACAGGGATTTTGTTATGTGCTGTAGAAAACAAAAGTATTTAAGATTTATGGAACACAGAGGAGTTCAAATGATGGATCATAAAACAACTTCTAATTTTTTTCTGATAGCTAACTGTTTGGAATACCAAAGCCTTACTTTTATGAGAATGAATTATAGTTCATATGGAGTAATGGCTTACCTTCCACATTGTCTAGTGTCTAGTGTTACAGAAGCTTAGTCATATCTTACCTTCTAATGTGTAGAAACCCAGGCGTGGTTCACTTTTAACTTAAAAAAACCCAAACAAACACAAAACCTGAAAAAGCAGGAATTTATTCCAGTTCAATTTCCTAACCTAGAAAGTGATATCTGCCACCAGAGGGAGCTGCAGTTCTGCTGCCAGTAACCGACTTTTCCCATGAGAAATTTTTTACACACTGTTGGTTCTACTGTTTCATCTTCCCAGGAAAAGAAAGTGTTTAATCTAAAGTAATTTTCCTAAAATTAGAATCCCAATCTTCTTATGTTTTAAAATTGAAGAGCCCATCAAAGGGACCAAAAAGAGTGGGATTTAAGCCACTCTATCAGACCATATTGTGTTTTTGTTGTAATACTCAAATAATTTATTTAAAACACTTAGAATTCTAGTCTGTTGTAAGATGTGACATCTAACACTAAAAACAGTCCAGTTTTAAAACCTTCTAGTTTAAAAAACATGATGACTTGTTTCTAGATGAAATTAATTCTAAGGAAATGGCGTTATGCAAGATTAACTCCTTTTCTGGAAAAGTTATGTTACGGAAATGAAGATGTTGTAAAGGAAGGATAATTGAAACAAAAGCAGCCATATTGTTTTGGCTGTTGTTTTCCATGTTTGAGGTTGTTGGCTTCTTTTTTAAAATTCTGTTTCTGGTCTATTTTTAGGGTTGATTTCTTTATTCCTGGAGTATCTGTAGTTGGGGGATTCTCAATATGTTCAAGCCCTGGCCTCTTAGAACGAGAAGGAATACTAGAGCTGGCAGTAAAGCACACTGTTCATCCTCCTGCTCACTGGGTTCACACTGAGGTAAATTACATTAACTGTGAGATTTGGCTCTTTGTTTGTTTGTGGGATTTTGGGGATGTGGAGGGGGTTATGTGTGTGTGGTTTTAGACCACTTTGTGCTATTGACTGCAAAACTCATGTTGACTTGTTCAACCATTTTTAATACAACATAAATCTTAAAACCTATTGTTCAGTAAGAGACTGAAATTGGATGTTTATATGGTAATATGGTTATTGGAACCTTTTGATTCCACTTGTGCTTACAGTGGACTAAAAATGATATTGTAGTTAGTGCATATAAGGGTTCTTACTCCTTTGGAATTAATGAACTTAAAAATGTTGAAAACTCTCTGTTCTAAATTGTGTCCCTGACAACAGTGTTACACCTTACAAAGCTAATCTGATAACGTTCCATAATTCCTGAGCATTTTTACAAATATAAAATGGAAATCATTGATAAATCACAGATAAATATAGATTATTAAGGGGGAGACAAGGGAGATATTTAGATCAAGTTTTCTCAAATGATAAAACAACAGAATACTTTAGGATTTCTGTAATATTCTCTTAAATATGCAGTATTTTTGTAATATAGACATATTACCCAAGGCTTGATTTTTTTGCTATATTAAAAGCAAAGCCTGACACTTGGCCTCTTGCAGTGTTTTGTTCATCATTTACCCCATTTAGTTACAGTCAGAGGAGTCACATATTTCATCAGTGATCTGTCCTATCAATTTTTATTCTTTTCACAATCTCTGAAGACTCTTTTAGGACTTCTGATGTCATAAATTAGTTTGTTGTTGCTGAGTTTACTGGTTGAATTTTAGGATAAATCTTTAATCAAGGGGTAAGCTACGCCAAACCTGATGCTGTAGAGAAACCACCAGGGGATATCTTCTAGCTAAAGAAAACCACATGCTTTTCCTTAGGAAACAAGCGGAAAAAAAATATCAACCTAGAATTTGAAAATGACGTATATGTGGTGAAAAAGCTCTGGTACTTAATTGTTTAGAAGTTACTTCTAAAGGAAGTTGGTAACTCAGGGTAGAAGATGTTATGGGAATAGTTAGCACTCATTTACTTACTGTATTTGGGGCTTTTTAGAGGTATTTATTTCTTAATATTACTGTATATAAATCATAAATTTTAGAACTGTGTACTTTATAGCTTTAGGAAAATGTAGCCTTTTAGAAAAATGTCCATGTAATGCATTGATCGCTTCACTTCTCTACCTGAGCTGTGCTTATAAACTAGATTAAATGACAACATTTTCTCATCATATTACTCCAGAATTTTACTGTCTTTTCTTGTATACTGACTTATTGTTATCACTGTCATGGCCAAAGCGTGGAAATATGTGGGAGACTGCTGATTATGAGAGAGCTCCTCATGTCCAATCCTGATGAGCTACATCTGGTTAAGGTGGCAGGTTTAGATGACAGAGGTTGTTTCTCCCTGAAAAGGCTTATTTCCTCAAAGGGAACCATATTCTGTGTCCTCCTTCTGCCATGTGAATCTGGAACACTTGTGGATTCATGTGTCTCTAAACCAGAGTAAAACATGGTGGGAAAGCCTGGTGGTGTATATGAACAAGGAGAGAGAAATTGGTTTCAGATAATGAACGCTGACTGTCTTACACTACAATTGAGGGACAATACTTCATGGAATAATTAAGAAAGGCAAGAAATTTGTGGTTTTTTTTTTAATGATCATGCTAACTACTTTAGGAACTTGTGTGTTCTGTGCAATACCTGAATCCAAAGGCCTCCTCCTTCATCCTGGTGGAATTGTTGCATGTTTAGACCTTTGCTGTCTATGCAGTTGTCATTAATGGAATTCCTTTTGTTGCAATTTACTGTTTCCTGATACCAGAAGGATTCTTTGGAGGAAGTGTTTTCATTTTCTAAGCTAACTTTTTAGCAGTTCTTGTAGCTTTCCTTGGTTTTCCCTCTTCCTTTCCTACCTTCCTTGGTTTCCCTATCCTCTTCGGGTTTTTTTTTTGCAAACCTGTATATGGCCTGAAGTGAGTTGTGTTTTCTGCTCTTACTTGTTCTGTCTGCTTGCAGTGATGTGGGAGAGCTCACCTGACTTCTCTGTACTGCAGTTTCACCCTTCATACCGGGATGCAGTGCCGGTTTACCAAGAAGATATTGGCCCAAATGGATTTTTTTGTTGTAGCTTTCATCTTCCATGTAACAAAAAAACATGCTCGGACAAATTTCTCTAAGAAATAATATCTTACGTCCGAGTGGAGAATAAGAGAGAAGGTTTTCCCCTGATTTTTATTCTTCTGTGCCTCTGAAGTTGCAAATGCAGAAGTGATTCTGTAAGAAATATTCTTGTGGATACTGCTTCAGTTCTGGGTGTTTTCTATTTTTTGGGAATTTTCTTGACATGAGGCTGGGTTTGGGTAGAAGTGTGATCTCACGTTGACCTCAGGTTTTCACAACCACGTCCTGCGTTGGAAAACTCTTGCGTGAACCGTTCCTCTTTCAAGTCCTTTGGGGATGAAAAGGGGGAGTTGCCATCCTGCCTTACCATAAGACTGAAGCTTTTGAAAGTAGAACTGGATCCCTAGAGACACTGGGTTACCTCAGATAGCTGGAAATTTTGTGAATATTCTGAAGTATTTCTGGTTTTCCCTCACTGGTCAATAAAAATAAAAAATCACAGCCCAGCAAGTCTTGTGACTGGAATGCGAGAAGAATAAGGTTTCAATTTTGCTTTTCATTTTGAAATTAAATATCTTCTTTTCCGTCCTAGTGTACTCTTGACTCAGAAGTGGCTCTGCGAGTGGGAGGTGATTTCTTCTTTGATCCTCAGCCTGGTGACTCCCCAGTAAACCTAGTGCTGATAGCAGGGGGTGTTGGAATTAACCCATTGTTTTCTATACTGCTGCATATAGCAGATCTTCATGGATACCAAGAGGGTAAAGGAAATGGATACAAACTGGGAACAGTGAAGCTGTACTACAGTGCAAAAAATACAAGTGAACTCTTATTTAAGGTAAATAAAAAGTTTTTTTTAAAAAATAGGTCTCAGCTATTCAGCTACTAGTGAGTATATCAATTGATTGCCAGACTCCAGAGAGTCCTTCTGTGTAAGACAGTGTACAAATGGAGACAAAACTCACTTCCTGCCTCAAATCCCATGTGTGTTTTCTTAACTTCTTAGGCCAGTGTACAAATTAAGGCTGTTACTAGATATACCTGGTCTCAGTGACTTTGGTGATAAGTCAATTACCCCTAAATTTTACTGTAGCCCTGCATTTTACTATAGTCTCATAAGAGCATCATAGTATAATAAAGAGTATATATATTTATATGTATATATACACACCAATAGTATGCATAATGTTATAATACTGAAACCACATAGTCTTGGTATAGATTGTATTGAATTTAAAGACTAGAAAAGAGCAATTATATCCAAAGGAAACACTTTCTAAAATAACAGGGGAGCTTTATTGATAATGCATTAGTTATTATTGAGTACTGTTGTATGAATGAAGGATTTATAGCTGCTCTTAAAATTTCTTGTCCAGCACTTCATCAACATTTACTCAGCAGTTAAAGATCAGTTATCAGACTCAGCCATTAAGGGTCACTGATAACATTTTAGGGTCAAATTAGCCCAGCTTCTGTAAAGAAGCATCCAAAATGATTTAGGTTTCTTCAAAGTATTGAAGGCTTTTGATTGTAAGATAAAGGTGAAAATAAACTGTGTATAGGATCCATCACTAGTTTTTCTTCTGTAATTCTGCCATGTTACTAGATATGGAGATATTTGCTCTCTTTGAAAACTCATTTGTTTGTTGCTAGAAGCAGAATAATCTGCTCCTCCGTTTGGCCAACTGCTGCTGTGCCAGTGTGTTCTGAGCATGCACAGGTGTTTTCAGTGCCTGTGCTAACATTCTCGAGTTTCACTGCAGCCGTGCTGTGACAGCAGAGCTTTTGTATTAAAGCTTCTGGGACAGAAGAGAACACAATGATATTTACAGTGCTTACAATATGCTTCACGTGTCTGTCAAAATTCTTTACCTCTGTGCAGAGGAGTGAGGAAATAGAATCACTAGGAGCCCTTATGCTGTTGCAAGAAACATCTGTACAACTCTCCAGGGGGAACTGCTGGATTGTCACTGATGGTTTGGAGGACCTGTTCCCTGAAGGCCCAGCTCTGTATAGGCTGACAAGGGCAAAGGGAAACACCAATGTCTTGGGTGTGATGCTTGTTGTGGATGTGCTCTCATGTCACAGGCTGAGGCACTGCTTCTGAAAATCTCCTTAGTGCAAACGGTAGAAGCAATACAGTGTGAGAGTTACAAAAGATAGCAAGTCAACAGAGGTACTAGTGGAACTAGTGTCCAACAGTGTCAGTCTGTGCTGCTCTTCATTCCTTGTCTTTTTAGGGATTCAGGAACAGATTTGCCTACTAGGTAGTATCTGTCTAGGGTTTTTTGTTAAGCAACCCATGGCAGACTCTCTAGTGTAGTAACCAGTTAGCAAGCAAACACAGCTAAATGAGCTAATTTACCTATTTGCAGAGTAGACATTATTTGTATTTCAAAATATTTTTAAGAATTTCCAGTGCCCATTCCAGCAGTGAAAATCTTAAATAGTGCAGAATCTAGACAACAGCTAAATCTTAATTTCAGAATTAACTACAGCATCTGAGAGACACATTATTTTTTTAATATGATTTGAATTGAAGCTGCTGGGTTTTTTGGCTGTAACTTATCACAGCTGTGAGTTAGGGAACTGAAAATTACCATTTCTACTTTCTACTCTGGTAAAAAGTAACATTACCATTATATTGTATTTGGTTTTACTTGGAGGATGTGAGACAGTAAAAGGTCTAGTAATCTTACCACATAAAGCAGACAGGACTCAAAAAGTTCCTAACAAATGGTAAATACATACTGCAGGGGGGTTTTTAAATGGAAAACCCCTATGGAAGTGGAAGGAGGAAATAGTGAGAATTTAAAAGGGGAAGAAACTGGGAAATGACATAACTGGTTCTTAGGTTCAAATCTTACAGATTCAACCTATCTCAGCAAAGGAGACAAGCTCTAGCATAGCTGGCAGGGAGTTTACATTCCAGGTGTGGGAATTGTGTGTGTAGGTGTGCAGGTCAGCCCTGTGGAATCAAGCCCATCAGGTTCTCGGTGCTGAAATGCAAAGTCTTGGTTCTCAGTAATAATCACTGGTGTTCTGGGAGTGTGTGCATACATCTGCTTTGATTTAATGGCCTGTGGTGTAAGCAAGTGTGTTTAACATTACAGAAAAATATTCTTGGTTTGATGAACACGTTTCCTGGAAAGATCACATGTTGTTTCCACGTTACCCAACAGCGTTCACAGATCTGTAAAGAACTTCAGCCACATGTTACAGGTAAATGTACAGAATGGTATCAAAGTCCAAGTTTGATTACATCCTAAAGGATGAAGTTATTAGGCATAACTCAGTATTTTTACATTTAAAGGTTCAAATCGAGATGTGAGTTAAACCTAAATAATTTCACTGACCATACTATGCTTTGCAGAAAAATTTTCCCTTTCCAGTTTTTGTTTTCCTCTTTTAATTCAAAACTTTATACTGGTATTTCCCACTTCAAACTTTATTCCAGAAATTTTTAAGCAAAGTATTTACTTTCCTATTTACTTTGCTTAAGGTGGGATTGATGAAGGATAATCTGACTGCTTGTAAGAGACATTTCAGCATGTTTCCATTTCTGCTGTATTTGTGTTAGAGATACTTACCTATTTTTTTCATGAATGTGGGATTTTTGCTTGTATGTAAGCTGTGTTCTCTTCAGTGACTAATACCCTCTGCATTCCAAGCAGAAGTACTGATCTAAATCCCCAAAAGAACAAATGGCTTTCGAAGCCTCAAATCTCAGTACCTATTATTCTGAAACAGGCCAGGCATTTTTAAGAAAGGAGTGCTTGAAATACCTCTAACCAGACATTCTTTTTGAAATGACTTCACGATTAATATTTCTGTTCTCATTTCCTACTTTTTTTCTTTGTCAGAGGGAAGAATATCTGAAAAGGATCTAGAAAAACACGTATCTAACAATACTTCATGGTACATCTGTGGTCCACCTCCAATGATAGAATCCATATCCAAACTACTGTCTAACATTGGTGTTCCTGGAAACCGTGTTTTCTTTGAGAAATGGTGGTAGTGACACCTGCTGAAATATATTATTTTTTCCAGTGCATTTTGATAAGCTAAAATGTACAGAAATGGACTATGAATTATTTGGAAGATTTTACTTCATAGATGAAGATGTCCTCAATTGTAACAGTGTTCCTTTTAATTTAACTGTAATATACCTGTAATGCAGTGCTGATGCTTTGGGGAAAGAAAGTGATTTTGTATTAAAGACATTAACTGTTATGGTTTTTGCTAGTTTGCTTCTTCTTATGAGTAGCAGCATATTTTCACTTCAGACACTTCGTTAGTCAGCTTTTAGAAGACTTTCAGTGCCTGATTCAGCAATTGCAGAGAATTAGTTGTGCAGCAATGCCAGGTCTGTTTATAAAAATAAATGAGGCCACAACTTCTGAATCTGCTCCAAATGAGTCAATACCCTTCCCTCCCCAGTTCTACATAACACAGTACCACTTCTATAGAAGTAAAGCTGCGGTGTTGTGACTTCCTTCTCGCCATTTCTTGTCAAAAGCAAAACCCAACCTTTTATGTGGTTCAGCTGTGTTGACAGTAAAAGACATTTTTTTTGTAATCCTCTTCAGCCCTGAGTTAGAAGTGTTGAGTGTAGCAGTGTTAGGCATCAGTACAGCTTCCCACCTGAACCTGTATCCCGTGCCAGTGCCGAGGTTGTCCATCCAAGACTGTGCTTTTGGGTGCTGCATCCTCAAAAGCAGCACTGGCCAGCAACGGCCAAGACTGGAAATCTCCACAATCCTGCTGCATAAAGCACAGAGCTTTAGGGGAATCCAGGACGTATCAGTTCTGCTTGGAGAAGAGTCTCTGGAAAGATTGCTCTTGTAAGGCATGAGTGTACCTCTCTGTGTCATGGCTGACACCTGAGCCCTTCCAGAATGAAGCTTCTTTGCCCAGCTTGTAGAAAAACTCATTGTAGAATCTGAGACTAACAAAAAGCTATAGTGAGTTTGCCAATTACCTGCATAGACAGTTCAAGTCCTTAAAGTGGTAGAGATTCCCACTGTACATCTGAAGACCTCAATAAGGAACAGTATCAAAAATACTAAATTAATATTGAATTAGTAAAAATGTTAAACAGATAAGGCCTTGTCTTTGTTAGTGGCTCCTTACCTTGTGTTAAATGTTTCAGGCAATAGTCAGCTAGGTAATGCAGCAAGTTTCTTGCCATCAGTGTGTTACTACTTTGGCCCTAAACAGAGGTTGCAAGGATATCGATCCCATCAGCCTATTCCAGCCTGCAGCAGTACTGTTGGTGTGAAGCACTTTGTTTTTCAAGCATAACATCCCTGTGGTTGGCAAAGAAGGCCTCCGGCCCAGCTGTAGTTCTCTCCCAAAAGTCATTTCAGCTTCAGCATGCTGAGTTTAGCCTCTAGTAGTGCCCTCTTTTTATCAATCTGGTACGTTGTACAGCTTGTAGGATACCTACTGCCATATCCACATGCACCTCATCTTCAAAATCCAATAAGGCAGCCCAGCTGGGAAACTCCAGGCCCTTGCTTTGAGGGAAGCACAAAACTACTACTGTAATTATGGCAGAAGGTGATTCAACAACTGAAATGATGCCAGCGCTTCCTGAGTGTCGAAGAGAACAGGCCATACCTGCTGCTGCTCAGAGCACACACAGCTGAAGGACAGGCTGTATTTTCCATCAGGAGGGCATGACTCTGACTGATGGACCTTAAAGAGTTGCCTTTTGGGGACAGCACTGTGATGAGGCCTTGCCTGTAAGTTTACGCCTTCTGCTGCCTGCAGCCTCATCCACTGAGGTCTGTGCTCGTGTTCCACGCGGCTCTGCCGCCCGCTGACATCGCCAGCCTCCTCCACAGTCCCTGCAGACCCAGAGGGGATGTCTCATCGAATTCCCTCCTCCTCAGACGAGAGGAAGATTCTTTCTGAGTACCCCTATTTCAAGGAATGGTTCCTTGTTTGTTCACTCTAGAATGTAAATAGGACAGCATGCTTGTCACAAAAAATAACACCAAGGGGGCTTTGCATTCACAAAGATTGCAGTTGACATGTCAGAGCCTGATGCTTGAAAGCAGCAGGGTTTTCCTAGGAACGTGCAATACATTGCTATCGGGAAGTACTGGTGCCCTAAAATAAAAACCACACGTTAGGCTCCTGCGTGTTTTGACAGTGTAATGATAAAAAGATTCTGAGAAGCCTTTACATGTTGTTTTTCTTATGACTTTTAAATCATTATGTGGATTATAAACTGGTATATCTTTTTTTCCGCTTAATGCATAGGCTTTCTGCAGGCCAAATGACATCTCTTTCACAAACCCCTCTTCAGACTTGCCCCAAAATGTCCATTTAACAAAGGCATTTTGAAACCCTTTGCTTCTGTAATCATCTTCTTTTCCCTCTAACCTCTTTCTGTCATCCCCTGTTACACTCAAGCTGAGCGCTGTGGGGCAAGGGCATAGCTCTGTAATTGTATGGGCTCACCCACTTGAAGAGCAGCACTAAACATACACACACTGCACGGAAAGATGAGAGGAGAAAAATAATTTCATACCTCCCCACCCCCAAATACTGGTAACCTCTGTTAATGTCAACAAGAAGTCCTTTCTTACCTTGTAATAAATGCCATTTCTAAGCTAAGAAGTCAGGAAAGTTGTTGACATTCCCTTCCTCCATGGCCTTTTCCTGTTGACACTTAGGAATCTTTCAGTAGTCTCTTCTTTCTAGAGTCCTGTAGTCTTGTAGTGAAACATCAGTTTCACCCTAATGTCTGTTATTGGATCTGACTCTGCTTTAATTGAAGACAAAAATAACACCCCAGAAACATTCACCCATATGGTCTACAAATAATGAAATAAATGGGATATTGGTCTGCACTGGCAGGAACAGAGAGCAGCCCCTGCTGTTCAGCTGCTACGGGGTTGGAGAAATAGTCTCATCACATTGGAGAATCATGTAATCATAGAAAATGTTTATTCCTCTTACACTTGTGCCAGCAGCTAAGGAGCAACCGAAAGAGAAGTAGACCGATACTCTTTTTTTGCAACAAAAGATGAGAAGCAAGAAATGTGCCTCTCTATACATTTATATTTGAACTTAGGGAGATGGTTTGTGAGTTACCTGGTGTTGCAGCCTTATTAGACTTTATCTTCTTCTTCTTGTGGTATGTATTTTACTAGTTTGCCTGTCCTTATCTGGTACAATAAGTATGAAGTATTCCTATAGGATTTGCATTAATTACCTGGAAAAAGAATGGCTATCCACTTATCATTACATCACTTTAGTTAGCAGGGTGCTTTTAGAGTGAGTAACAGAAAGCACTTCAATTGAAAAGCCTTTTTTTCCCCTTCAGCATATAGGTAGGGTACTGACTACAGTCAGCTGCCACATCCAGCACCACAGGCACCTTTCTCAGGATGGAGGCTTTGGCAAGGATCATCTTCTAAAGCAAAAAGAACATCTCCACTAACAGCCTCAGAGGCATATGAATTGTGTCTACAACTCATAATTCATAGGGGCGTTGGTATTGTTCACCCACATTCCTCATGCTTCTGAGAAGCACTTATCAGCAAGAAATTAGTATTTGCTCTTCTTATACTCCTCAGTTCTGTGAGGATGAAACTCCTGCATGAAAGGCTGATTGTGCTTCATTTCTGCCCTATAATTGGCTCCCTGAGGCAAACACAGAGTCACGGCAACTACTAAGAAAAAGCAGGGTACCCAAATGCAGAGCCCTTCCCCTGCTCACCTCAGAAACCAAGGCTGACAGAGGAGCCAAAGTAGGGAAAAAAGGGTATATTGTACTTAGCTTCATGTCCACGCATATGTTAAAGCTACCTGGGGCTATTTCACTTATACTGTTTTCAAATGCACAGATCCAATAGTCAAAGACATTAGGCAAGATGAAGTGCCAGTCCAATCATTTGTGCATTTAACCCCTCCTGAACTCAAAATAAACTATTTTCATTATGATGCTTCAACAGTTTGGACATTCTACCCATCATAGTTGTACCCCTCTACCCCTGCTCCCCACTGTTTGTTGCAATATAAAACCCCTTTTTTATCCTTCATTTAATTCAGCCACTCCTCTTTTGACATTTCTTCATTTGCCTGAGCTGGATCTTCTCCTTAGAATTTATCCTATTGTAACAATTGTTGGCTTATTCAGATGACCACTTGCTCCAAACACCAGCACACAAAACTCCTCTCAACAGAGTATCCCACGTGCTTCTCCCTCAGAGACAGGCAACTCTTGGGACAGGTGTACACACCTGAGTTGTGGTGGTCTGACAGGGATGGTTCAGGTTAGAACACACACCTGTGCTGTGGGGCTGCATCGTCACCAGCTGACACCAGGAACATGTGGTAGCACAACCCATCAGCTCCTTCCCCAGGACATGCCGGCGACGCTCATCCTTCCAAGAGAGGCATGGGAAGATTCGTTTGCATCCTTACTGGGAGATTCTGCCTAATCTGGGGGAAAATTCAGGTTTGGCTTAAAATGCTGGCTCTCTGTGGGAAAAGAAAGGGCCTGGCTTCTCTCTCCATCTCCTGCCGGGGGTGACCAACCCTGCTGCAGACTTGGTGGCTCAGAATGACTGTGGCTTCTCTCTGTGAGCAGCCAGGATGGATTCCCACTGTCCCCCCTGAGCTGACAGTTGAGGCTGTACCTCTGCAGCCGAAAGCCCATTTCAGCTTCTCCCACAGACTTCTCCCACTCCATTGTTGGCGTATTTCCCCGTGTTGGTCAGGTTTTCAGAGACAGGATTTGAGCCCTGGCCTAATCCTTTCTCTTCTCCATTCAACCTTCAAATAAGGTGCTGACTGCTTCCTTTCACTTCCTTGGCCACTCCTGCTTTTTCAGGCCCAAAATAGCAAAAGCAGTTGAGATAAAATACAGATAACAGCTGTGGAGCCTTGCTGCTGTACCCCACATGTGCATTACTACCCAGCCCTCATCATATCTGGATCACCTGACTGTGAGGTGATTTAAGTTTTCTCACTTTCCTTGAGATGGGGACACAGTGAAAGCACATGCACAACTCCAGACAGCTGAACCAGCTCAGGGTAATTCAAAGTCACGAGTTGGAATTGATTATGTGACTATAAACCCAAAGCTGTTTGCGCTCTTATGAAACTGAAAAAACAGGTAAGTTCTCTTTGACTCTTCCCAACCCTAAGCCACTCCAGCACTTACAGGAACAAAGTTTTAAACCAAGCTTTCACTTAAACACAACTTCCCCCCAGACCCTTCCATGCTCTGTCAGGCTGGGAAAGGAAAAAGAAGTAGCCAGTTCTGTAGCATTAGTAAATACTGCTAATTCAGTAGTAAGGAGCTTCCCCTCATCACCACTTAGAGATCCCAAGTTCTCCCTTTTGGGGACAAATTACTGGCAATTTTGCAAGTATCACAAATA